TCCAGTTTGAAAAAGACAGATGCACCCCTATGTTTATTGCTGCACTATTTACAATAGCCAAGATATGGAAGCAACCTAAATGTCCATCAGTAGATGAATGGATAAAGAAGATGTGGTACATATACACAATGGAATATTACTCAGCCATAAGAAAAAAATAGATCCTACCATTCGCAACAACATGGATGGAGCTAGAGGGTATTATGCTCAGTGAAATAAGCTAGGCGGAGAAATACAAGTACCAAATGATTTCACTCACATGTGGAGTATAAGAACAAAGGAAAACTGAAGGAACAAAACAGCAGCAGAATCACAAATCCAAGAATGGACTAACAGTTACCAAAAGGAAAGGGACTGGGGAGGATGGGTGGGAAGGGAGGGATAAGGGTGGGGGAAAAGGAAAGAGGGCATTACGATTAGCATGTACAGTGCATGGGGGGCACGGGGAGGGCTGTGCAACAAAGAGAAGACAAGTAGTGATTTTACAGCATCTTTCTACACAGATGGACAGTGACTTTGAAGGGGGTAATTGGGGGGGTCTTGGTGAAGGGGGGAGCCTAGTAAACATAATGTTCTTCATGTAATTGTAGATTAATGATAACAAAATGAATAAAAAAATAAAAAAATGAAAAAATAAAAAATAAAATAAAGCAAGAAGGTGTAAAAATATTTAGTGATGAAAAGATTGCACAAAAAATTGCTGTTGTATATCTGCCTTTTCTTTACTAGTGGGACCCACCAGTTGGGTTTCTCTAGAATTACAAGAAAGAAAAAGCCCCATTTCTTACAACCAGCCAACATATGATAAATGTTTACTGCTTCTAAAGACAGGAAAATAGCTAAGAAATGACCAGTGAATTAAACTACAGTGATAATAAGAGATGAAAGGTAAATAATTTAGGCCCTTGGAACCAAGCTACTAAAAGAACTGGCTCTTTCATTCCTCAGGAAACACGGCCAAGTGGAGCTCCTTCTAACCCTGCTGGTGCCCCATTTGTGGCTTTGCTTTGCTTAAAAAGGCTGTGACTTGAGTCTCAGCCCCTTTTACCAATGAACACTGTATTGTCTGGCACCCTCCTCCCCTCACCCCCTGGCGATGGAGAACAGCACGCCTCCTACGCTTAGCGGCTGACTCATCTCATTCACTGATTTCAGGATAAAAAGCATGACTATGGGGCCCAGGGAATAACACTCTCCATAACCAGGGAGGAGGCAGGCTCTGCCCAGAGGTAAATTCCGAACACCAGTAAGCCGAGGCAGGTACTGATTCCTCTTCCCCTGAAACCCAGAAGCAAACTCTCCCGCTGGCTGAGAGCCATGCTGTGGCAACTTGTGCAAGTCCCCCCAGCACCCTGCCTGCGTGTGGCAGGTCTGCAAACCAAAGTAAATGAGCAGAGAAAACTAAATCACAGCCAAGAAAAGCACAGCACAGTGTAGATGTCACATGACTGGGACAGTCAGACTTTACTCAGGAAACACACCTAGTTCCAAAGAAAGGCAGTTAACTCCACTGCGATCCTAATCACAATAAGGAAAAGAATGGTGCTGAATGTAAAGCACACAGATACACACAGACCACTCCCATGCTGACCGGCTAGAAACAAAGGGGGCACAACAACGAGCTGCCAAATATTCTTGCCAGGAACTCAATTTTTTAAAAAGTTGGCAGAATACTCTTTATACAGTGACATCCACTGAGGAAATCAGCTGGGAGGAATGTGGACTGTTGATACCCAAGACCTACAAAAGGGCTGCAGCCGAGGCTCCGCGGGAAGTGATTCTCGCACGTCTAAGCAGAGGCAGGTCTCACCTGTGCTGGGATCGCCCAGCACCACAGCTCAAACTCAGCAGGAGCCAAGAGCTGCGGACAGTGGGCATGCAGAGGCACCAGCTCATGCCTTTAAAGTAAAAGTGTCCCACCAACAATCATCTAACTATATTCCCTAAATTAAATCAACAGGCCACTAACACTACAGCCAAAAGCAAGAGTCCCAGGCACAGCAGTTGAGGGCCTGGGGTGGGAAGTGGCTCTGCACTCCTGGCTGCCTTCTGTCTCTCAGATTCAGGTCCCTTCATGGTAGAATGGGGGAAATAATAGCATCTGAAAGCTATCGTAGAATTAATGAGATGTGCATGGTCAACACAGCCCTCAGCAAAATCTTATCCTTAATGATAAACATGACAACAAAGGCAGACATTTATCAAAGGCCCCTCATTTCCAAGGTTAAAGGGGAGAAAGAAACCATTCAACAGGGTTCCCACCTTGGAAAAGCTTCCAGCTATCCAACTAGAACACAACAAACAGAACTGCAGGATAGCTGCTGTATTCAAGGCTCAGTGGGAGCTACAGCAATGGTGACAGTTTCAAAGGTCCCCAGTGAGCCCTGAACAAACCCAAGACAGGACAATGGCAGCCAAATGGTTCACAAGGTCAAGGGTGGGAGAGCAAGCGGCAGGTTCCTGGTGATGAGTAAGAGGAGGTTTCAGAACGTGACCAGGTGTGTGGCTTTGAACGCTACACCAAGAAGTTCCAAGTGTCGGGGGAAGGAAGGTGATTCCACAGGGCTTGGGATGGCGGCCACTGCGAGGGAGATTAGAGCAGAGAGAAACTAAAACTTCACTACTGAGTCTCCGGGAGTGGAGCGGTGGCCTTGTAATAAAAAAAGAGGTACAGAAGTAGGAGCCCACAGAAGACTTGGCAGTGAACTGGGTACAGGGTGAGCAGCGGGTGCTGTAGACCCTGTACAATCTGGACAGCAGCGGCATCGCTGGGGGAGATGACACGGGAGGGAGGGTTTGGTCGGCAGCTGCTTCCAAGAGTCAGTGGTGCAACCAGGCTGGCCTCCCACATGGCTAATGCCAGCCGCTAAGGAGGCTGCAACAGCAGTGCCATGAGAAAGCCCAAGCCCTAAATGGGTCCTGTCACACAGCCAAAAAAAAAGCCTGATGTCACTTATTTGGGGCTGAGGAGTTTGTAACTTCTCTGGTGTGCAGGTGGTCAAGCAGGTCTTGGCTCCTGCCCCCCACTCAACCCAACTGTGTCTACTGGCCCTCAGGAGATGGGAGAGGACAGGACTGCAAGGCAGGTGAGCCCTCAGGACTCAGAGGGAACCAGAAGGGCCAGCCTTCAGAGCATGTGTGAGAATGCCGGACATGCAAGAGGGAAAACACAGGAAGGGAGACATCAAACATGGGACAAAAGGATGCCCCCTAAAAAACTCCAGGTCCCACCCCTCCTGCCTCGGTCCTCTGCTTCGACCTTCTCCTCTCACTGGCTGAAAATGAACCTTGATTCCTATGCCTCCCGTCCTTCTCTTCTCCTGGAGAAGAGCTAATGCAGGGTCACAGTGAACGATCCAAAGTCATTCTTGATTCTCGAGCAGAAGCAAGGGTGTACAAGTCAGTCTCCGGCGGGGCGGGGGGCACAGAGTTCACAGATGGGCACTTCCACAATAAACACAGAACCTACCATGCTCTGGCCTACTCTAGGCATGGGACACACCCACAGTATTCATCCGTTTCCAGAGGCCTTCACAGCGTCATGATTCTCAGCCGCCACCAAAGTGCTGAGAAGAAATGGAGAAGCTAGTCTCCAAAATACCCCCAGCTCATCTAATCCTAAGCAAGTTTTTAGATTTTTCTTGCCATGCTTGTTTTGCTTACTTCCGTGCTGACACTGCATAGAATATCCCCTTAATTTGATATAAGTAAAACAAAACGAGAAACATTACAAAGATATGGATGATGATGTATTTTTCTGACTTTTTTGGATACACTTAAAATATATTGTTAGAATATATTTTAGGGGTTTTAAGAAATCTAAACTGGGTATTCTAGCAAGTGTTTCCATGCTACCTTATTTTGTGTCATTAATGCATTCTTTTTAAAACCTGAAATAACTTGTACAAAGGTACAGCTACAAAATAAAGCCACTAAATTATACCCTCAGAGGGCCCAATTTCCGAGATTCTTCACTCAGAAAGATAAAAATGTATGCTTTAATCAATGTAAGTTACAGTCAGTCAATTACAGGCAACTGTTTACCTTCCCCTGAAACACTTACCTCTTCAAGAAGCCGAGTAACAGCATCTATGTCATTATATGTTTTAGTCATCTGGCCAACTCTTTCAGCACATAAAACTGCAAGAAACAAAAATGACAGTGAAACTACTGGTGCCACAAACCTGCAACCAAATGCCCCATCTGCACAGCAGCCCTAAAGTTGTGCCCGCGTATTAGGCACAGAGTGTCACCGGTTTTGCCAAGTCCAAGCCACACTACCCAGCACCAGCAGGTTTCCTTTCCCAGATCCAGGGAAGAGCCCCAAACTTTGAGGGGGGCAGTGGGGAGCAACTTCTAATAGCGGCAAAGCCTTGACATTCTGTGTGTGTGTGTGTGTGTGTGTGTGTGTGTGTGCTTGCAGAACAAGAATAGTTCTGAGGGCAAGGCACTGGAGCAGAAATAGGTCTGGCCTCATAAACTCAGCAAACTGAAATGGGTCAGCAGCACAGCCACAAGCTGATAAATTTTCAGGACCTACAGCACATCGACGGCAATAACGTACAGACCCAAGCACAGAAAGAGCGGGATCCTTCAGAAAGCAGCTACTGGTATAATTACTGAACAACAGGCTTAGCCAATAATTTCATAAAGGCACAGCCATTCCCCCCACCCCACAAATGGCCTAAATTCTAAGGCTATGAAACCGATCACCATACCATGAAAACTAGGGTGATATATTTTTTTAATCCTTACCAAAAAGACTACAACCATTACTGCTACACGTATAAGCACACACAGAAAGTGAAATTTCACCACCTGTATAATTTACTGTGGTCATAAGAAGCTGCATACAGGACACTTTAGGCCTGTGTGTCTTTGTTATTCTTCAGCTGGAGAAGTTGTCTGTGCGATGAAAGAAAGCTTTAGTCTGATGAAAAATCTCAGGGTTGTTTTATTTTAAATCAATGTCAAGAAATTGACTTGTAGTTCAGCAAACACCAGGAAGGTAGCCTTAGTGTTATTCTGGGCAAAAAGGAGTGAAAGTAAATGGATTTAGGACCAAAGTGTAAAATTTTTTGAAGCCTGCCACTTTTGCAATAAATAATATCTAGTAACTCTTTAAAACTAAGACTCTAGAATATAATCCTCTCAGAGTTCAAGACTTAGTCCATCTTTCACAATGACCCATATTCAGTAACAGCCCAGGCAGGGCACCGGGGAACTGACAGGTGTCACCAACCAAACGCATTGTTAATGGTAAACTGCACCCAGAACCAACAGGTCTCTAAGTGTTTCATTAAATGCAAACAGAGATCATCCCAGTGAAGGAGCTCAGAGAAATCCGATCTGTTGGAAAATGATTTTCTAGTTTAAGGAGGAAACCCAAAATCTGGTTCCAAATCTGAAACCCTACCCTCAGGGCCCAGAGGGGCCTGTCCCCCACCCAGCACCTTATGCCGCCCTGCTGGCTGGAAGGAAAAACACTGCCTCAGGCACGTTCCTTCCCTCTCTCCAAGGTGGCCGCGAGGTCAGGAAAGGCTAGGGAGACATAAAAGGATTGGTTTAAACCAGAATTTAATTTGATGGAGATGGAATTTAGCTCGAATTGTTCTAAATAGTTCATTAGCTCAAGGTCACAAGAAATCCTTAAGATTACTTTGCCGTAGACAGGTCTTTTTTTTTCCATGCTGTACAGTTGCCGTATGCTGCAGCGTGCTGCTGGTGAAGACACTGGGGTGCGCAGCCAGTGGGCTGCAGGGCTGCGTCAGCAGGCCCAGGGCACCACCCGAAATGCCCGCAGCGGTTACAGAAGGCCTCCGCACTGGATGCACCGTGACTCCAGCGCCCACTGAAGGCCCCCTAGCCGTTCAAGGATCGATCCTCTGGCCGTCCTGGAGAGAAGAAAACCAGGCTGCATTTTCACTGACCTGGCTCTGTGCCACTCCAACAGAGGAGAACAAGATTCGGAGCTGCTTTTTAGTCTGGGACTGTATATAATCAGAAATCACACTTACGTTTTTAAGCTAATTTTTGGAACTACGATCTTCATAGTTAATCGTGTAGATAATAACATGCAGATCTAAGAATTAACATAGAGCCCCTTCTGCCTTTACCCAGCTTCCCGCCATGGGAACATTTTATAAAATTATATCACAACCAGGACTGATACAATCCATGGATCCTACTTAGATTTCCTAGTCCCGCCTGTACTGGTGTCATGCGTGCACCCACATGTATTAAGCTCTATCTATACACTTTTATCTCCTATGCAGGTTTGTGCACCCACTGCAAGGATCCCTTGCGTTGGCCTTTTATAAAGCTAATTTTAAAAGATTTAAAATACTTGAACAACTGAATCCAAGAATGGACACTTCAGCCAGTGTTTCTCTCCCAGCTTTAACCAGTCACCACACACAGTGACAGGAGGCTAGATGTGTCTATTTATGTTCAGTTGGGGAGCAGAGGCACGTAGGGATCTTCTGAAAGTCCTGAGGCCTTTGACAGAGCCCAGCTATGGAAGGCAGAGGCATAAATGAGCACCTACTGCTGACTCTGAGCTATGAAACAACATGCTTTATTATTCCAGTTATGTTTTTAAAAATACATAAAATCCCAATTGTGGGGGAGAAATGTACAGATTTATAATACACAGAAACTAGAATACCCATACAAATACTGACATTTGGATAAAATTACAAATTTTTATTTTATTTTCTTGTGCTTGAAATTTTTTATTCTGTAGTGACCATGCACTGACAGGAAAAACAAATACTTAAAATATCTTTCAAGAAATACACAATTAACTACAGTACAGGGTCCTGGGATGCTCCCTGAGGCAACCCGAAGAGAAATCAGCAGCAGCACAGCTTTACTGAGCACAGCTCACTTCCTGTGGCCAGGCCTTACTCACAGCCTCTGTATAGGTTCTTATTTATCCGCAAGGCAACAAATACTACAAAGTAGGCATTTATAGTAATCCCATTTTACAAATGGGAAACTGAGGCCCAGAGAGGTTAAATAGCTCACCCAATGTCACACAGATAGCAAAATTTCAAAATTAAGAAGAGACTCCCAGTAGGAACAGCCGGTTATCATTTATGGAGTTCCTACTATGTCTGGGGATTTAATGTGCTTTTTAGTTTAATTCTCACAACCACCTGCAGGGTAGGCACTATCATGATCACCACTCCGCAGATGAGGACACTGAGGCTGGAAAAGCTGAGGCCCCAACCACAGCCACAGCAAAGAAGGTTTGCATGGCAGGGACTGAACCCAAGCCAGTCTGGCTCCTGAACTAAAGTGTAGAGCCATGAAGGATCAAGGGCAAGGTGGAGGCTGGCACAAATCAATGATGTTTAGGAAGCATACACAGAGCAGGAAGAACCTGCCATGTAGAGAGAGGAAGATCCTGGGCTCTGGGCCTTTGGTTTTCATAGGAGACGCTACCACAGCCATGAGGTCCTGGACAAGCTGGAACTGTGTCTCGTGTTTTCTCTTCCAAGAAATAAGGGGCAAGGGTGATACCACTGAGGGTGGGAAATGAACAAATGATGTTTTTTTTACAGTAAGACAAGCACCGGCTGAACTTTGCAAGCACTGACTTTCTAAAAACTTCATCTACAATAAAACATGGTCAAGTTTCTCTCTCCAAAGAGTGGTATTCCACATGAAGGTTCCACTTCTAGCTAAGGGGTCTCTACCAAAGAAACCCACTTGACCCCAAAAAGTGTCCGAAAACAAAGTGGAAGAACAGCCATAAACCTCTATTCAAACTTAACATGAGAAAAGTAGGGTTCAAATCCTAGGAAAAGTGCAACACACCTACAGTAGCAAAGCAGATATACAGAACATACAGCACACACCTGGCAATATCGACATAACACTAAGCAATATATATTGCTGGGCACCAGGCTCTGTGCTGAACAGGACAGATGTGCCCTTCTGGGGTGCACAGAAAATGGGCAGCCCACGTGCCAGGCCAGGGCACCCCTGGGCGGGGCTCCAAGGTTTGCAAGGCCTGGCATGCCCCTTTAAGGAGTTGGAACTATTACCATGGGACAGCGGGAAGCCAGTGCAGGGTTTCCAAAGGGGGGAGGGGGGATGTCCACATGACAGTTGTGTTTCAGAAAAGATTCTGGCTGCAAGCAGAGAAATGGTGGGGTGGGGGAGGGGGTCGGGTCAAGGCTGTTGATTAATCAAAGGAAATCCTGGATGGCGCTGGGGGGTGGAGAGAAGTGCTCTCTTTTACTGAAAGAGTTAATAGGTAAGACTGGGTGGGAGGTGAATCAGAAAGAATAGGTTCTGGGCTTCTTAATGGGACAAATGGGACAAGAGCATTCCATTTCCTGTGCCTAGGGCCCCCCCGGTGAGACAGGCATGTGAGGCTGAAGGTCAAAGCAAGATGGAGCTGCCCCAGCACAGTCACTGGCATTGGGAAGAGGCTGAGGTCACCGAAGACGTGCCAGGCAGAGGGCTGTCCACACCCACAGCGGTAGGAGTTGGCGGTAGGTGGCAGGAGTCCTTCCTAGAGCAGAATCCACTTTGAGAAGAGAATCAAGAGCTTATTCCTGGGAGAGCCAGTGGAATCATGAAGCCAGATTCAAATGAGTGGCCTGGGCTGACAGCCCAGACAGCGGAGACTGCCTGAGTGTCACAGCTGACTGAGGGTCGGGGACACGCAGCTCCTCCGTGGGCTTTCAGCTGAAAATCAGCTAAGGTGACTTTTATGCAAATTAAATTGTGCCCCAAACAATTTTAAGAGTAAATGCTGGTACCCATCTCCCAACTCCTGTTCATAGGCATGAGATGCCACCCAAGAAATCCCAAGTACCTACAGTGAGCAGGCCCCGAAGAGAAATGAGTCCCAGCTTAGCGCCAAGGACAGACAGCAGCGGGGAGCTCGGGTGAACGGGAGGCCAAGAGACCCTCACAGGAAAGAGAACAACGGGGCAAGGGCGGGGGCTCCCGGGTTTTGACAGGATTACATCAGATGTGGGCATTCAAATGATCTGTGGGCAGGGCGGCCGGAACAGGAGAGTCAGGCAGAGCTCGTGAGGCCTGACTGGGTGCAGTGGGGTGGCGAGGAGGTTCTGGCCTGGCAACCTGCTCTCCCCCAGGGCCCTGTGCGTCCTGTCATA